TTAGCTCGTTGCGCACAAGCAAGGTAAGTGTGAATTTTAGACCTGATCCAGGGCACCACGCTTAGGGTGGGGGGATAGTCCACAGGGGGCTTTTGAGTCACCAGTCTGTCTAATCCTGCCTTCTACCACCCCACCCTTCCCTGTCTTGCTCCCCGATGTAGCTCCAGTTATACCACAGGCCTGCCTGGCTCAGTGTTTGTATAAGCAGAGGTGGTTTCTGCTCCCCCAGAGCTCACGTGCGCCCGGGCTGTTACCATGGAGCATGAGCTGGAGTGCCACCAAGGGCAGCCCGGCATCCCTCCCTGTGATGACAGAGGTGGGGGCAGGCCACACTCTAGAGGGAGGGGCGTGGCCCAGGAAGGTGCATGCGTCCAGCAAGGTGTCCCCTCCTGCCCAGAAATGACGCTCCCCCAAGGAGAGACCTGGCAGAGCAGGCAGTTCTGAAATGAGGCGGGAGATGCTCTGGTGGCCCTGCTTGCCGGGGTGCTGGCCTGGGCCCCCAGGGGAGCAGGGTCCTCGCGGCTGCATGTGGCACTGTCCCGTGCTCACAGGTACCCCCCCCCCCCCGCCGGCATACACATCTGGTGTAGCCGGTGCAAAGGTGTGTTAGAGTCTGAAAAAGCCCACTGCCCGAGGGACGACTCCAAGAGACTTTTCTCTCATGCAACCAGCAAAGGGTTAAAGATTTATTGATTATCGAGCATGCTGGGGCTGTCTGATCATACATGAACAGAGCAGCCCCGAATAACCAAAGGTTAGGGTTTATAAAGGCAAAAACTGCAAAACCGGGAAGGGGGGAATACATGGTTGCTATGCACGGTTGCTAAAATCAAGAGAGTACATAAAATCAAAAGAGAATATATGGTTACTGGGGTCAACATAACCCAAAACCTAAGTGAAATTAATATTTATCATAATCTTGACAATACCAGTTACAATATTACAATTAGCAATTAGGACTTGACATTAATGTAAGACACAGACAAATCACATCTTTATTATTAGCCCAGGTAACCCAGGTGCAACCTTTCTACTTTTAAGTTTGAGCAATCATGCTAGGGGGGTTTTGTGCTCTGCCAAGGGTGATGTAGTGCACTGCTATTGTCCGACTATTTGAGATCATAGTTTCAGACCAGAGTCTCACGGTGGGGGGGTGCTTTCTCAGAATGGAGTCTCAAGTGCTCCAAAATGGAGTCCCTACTGTCAAGGTGCTACTTCACTCTGTCTTATTTTTACAGCTGTACCAGGAAGGTTTAAACCTGTAAGCTTAAGCTTAACTTTTTACACCCGCACATATACAATTTTAACTCTTCAGGTGCTGTGATGCGCATCTCCACGTGGAGGCAGAGCAGCCTGGAGCCCGTGGGGGGCCGCGGGAGCAGAGCAGTGCGAGGAGAGGCTGGGTTTGCAGGCCAGAGCGGTGACTCATGTGTGTTCATATAGTTTAAATGTCTGCTCCCCCCTTTCCGGTGCTGTTTGCCGTGTTGCAGGGCTTGGACGAGCCTTCGTCAATCCAAGGGGTGAAGCCATATGCCGGCCAGCAGAAAGAGGACACGGTGTCTCAGGCTGCTTTCTTCTTTCCGGCTCACTAGGCTAATCCTTCGCCTTGCGGCGCCGGTACACCGGGTTCTAGTTCCGGTCAGGGCACCGGATTCTGTCCCGGTTGCCCCTCTTCCAGGCCAGCTCTCTGCTGTGGCCTGGGAAGGCAGTGGAGGATGGCCCAAGTGCTTGGGCCCTGCACCCCATGGGAGACCAGGAGAAGCACCTGGCTCCTGGCTTCGGATCAGTGCGGTGCGCCAGCCGCGGCGGCCATTGGAGGGTGAACCAACGGCAAAGGAAGACCTTTCTCTCTGTCTCTCTTTCTCACTGTCCACTCTGCCTGTCAAAAAACAAAAAAATTTTAAAAAAGGATTTATTTATTTATCTGAAAGGCAGAGATCCAGAGAGAGAGAGAGAGAGAAGGAGGAGAGGGAGAGAAGAGAGAGATCTTCCATCTGCTGGTTCATTCCCCTAATGGTTGCAACAGCTAGAGCTTGGTCAGACAGAAGCCAGAAGCCAGGAACTCCATTAGGGTCTCCCACATGAGTGGCAGGAGCCCAAGTACTTGCGCCTCCCCTGCTGTCTCCCAGGGTCTGCGTTAGGAAGCTGGAATGGGGAGCGGAGGCAGGACTGGAACCAGGGCTCCAACATGAGCTGGAGGTGTGTCCCAAGCAGTGCCTGAACTACGTTGCCAAATGGCCACCCCTCCACACCAGCTTCCTAAACAGGGGCGTCCAACTCCAGCAGCCCAGACTGGGGCCTCTGAAGTGCTGGAGACCCCGCTGCCCAGCGCTGTTGGAGGACTCACCCTGACCGTGGGCAGCACCAGTGGCCTTGACTGTGACCTCAGAATGAATGTACACAGGTGAGCAGGGCACACCCAGAGCACGGGAGCCGCCCGGGTTCTGCTCTGCACGTGGGCTGTGGGCATCCCTCGGGGTGGGTCGCTGTCTGTCAGATAGGTGGACAAAAGCCTGAGGGTCTCCAGTGTGCAGATCTGGAAACCGCAGCCCGAGGTCACCGGGGTGGTGACAGAGCCAGGGCTCTGACGTTTGCCATCACCCCCTGGCTACTCTGCAGGCCTCCAGTGGAGGGGCGCTCCGGCCCTCCCCTGGGATACGGCTCTGGGGCCTGGAGAAGGAGCCAGGAGCAGGGAGCAGGTGCGCAGCTAGGGATCCAGGACGCGGGGTGGGCTGACACAGGGGTGGGCAGACGCTGGAGAGACTGAGGACAGACAGAGCTGGGGAGGGCAGGGCAGGCTTTGCCCTGGAGGCCTGAGGAGGCCATGTGCGTTCGCACCAGGCACCTGGGCGGGAGTGTGGCTTCCCGAAACTGCTCCAAATGCGTGCGTGTCTGTGTGTCCCTGGCGCGTCATTCTGTGCATGTCGAAGGGTGCGTGTGGCTGCTGTGGGCTTACACGCGTGCCCACGTGGTCTCTGCGGGAGACGTCTGCTCCCTGTGTGTGTCTGCAGAGTTCTCATCTAGACAGAGCCCCTGGGAAGTCAGCTCTCGCTTCTTTTAAAAAAAGATTTATTTTATTTAAATTTGAAAAGCAGAGTGACAAAGGGAGAGAGAGAGTGAGAGAGAGCTGCCATCTGCTGGTTCATTCTCCAAATGACAGCAACAGCCCACGCTGGGCCAGGCTGAAGCCAGGAGCCTGGAGCTCCATCCAGGTGTCCCACTGGGGTGGCAGGGACCCAAGGACTTGGGCCATCTGCTGCCTTCAAAGGCACATCAGCGGGAAGCTGGGATGGAAGTGAATTTGGGATGGCAGCGTCACAGGCGGTGGCATCACGTTAGCACCGAGCCACCCCGACAGCCTTCCCCTGCGCTAACCGGCCTCGTGGCCAGCGAGCGAGCTGTGGGTGGGAGATGACCACACACCCATCCAGCCCCACGCCGCCCATCGCAGCGCGCAGTCCACACTTCTCGCCTGCGATCTGCACCGACCTCACGAGCTGTGTGACCAGAATCGCACACAGAAGTGGGGCCGTGTGACCTCCAAGGCCAGGCCGTGAGAATCAGCAGCTTTCGCTCTCACCACCCTATTATTATTATTATTATTATTATTATTATTATTATTATTATCATCAAGCAGTCATCGGGAGCAGCCCTGTGGCTCCCTGGCCGAGCGCCCCAGCCGGGCTCTGAGTCGGCTCTGAGGCCAGCTCGGTGTCCCGGCCAACACCACGGTTGGCAGAACTGCGTCAACCCACAGATGTGTGTCCTCCAGCAGCTGTTGGGCGCTTCAGCTACCGAGTGCGGGGATGGTTTGTGATGCAGGAGAGAGCAGCCAAGGAATGACTCACCTCAAAGGCGACTGTGTCACCCCACCCGGCACCCCCTGGGACTCTGCCGGCTTTAGTTCTAGAACCTCAGGGCAGGAGCAGGGAGCGCCAGTGGGGCTGTGGCCGCCTCCGTGCCCGGCCGGCCCGATCCCTGCTCTGTGGCAGAATCCGCCTGGCAGCGGCAGCGCGGCTTCTCCTCGGTGGCTTCCCCCGCCCCTGTGTCCCCGCAGAGAGCGGACCTGGCTCTCCCCTCCTCCCTCCCATCTCCCCTCCTCCCGGGGCCTGCTCTGGCCAATGAGAAGGGAGCTGCTGTGGCAGCCTGGGCGCCTCTGTCCTCTGAGGCTGAACAACCTGGGGGCCCAGAGCAGCCTAGCGCTGCCCCCTGGGGGCGGAGCAGAGTGGTCCCTGGGTTCCCACCCCAGTCCCCCATTTCTCAGGGCTTGGGTCTCACCACCTGCACCTGGTGCCCCCCTGCGCCATCCCCCACCCACCCCCCTGCTCTCAGCATGGGGCCGAGCAGGCAGTGAGCACCCAGCCCCCACACGCCCTTGGGGAGATGGAGCGGCAGGGGAGCTTTCTATGGCCCCCTTTTCATTCCTCCTCCGGGACCTGGGACCCGCTTGTCCGCCCCCTGGAAACCAGCAGAAGGGAAGCGGGGAGGGCGACCAGAGGCTGCCCAGGAGCACAGAGCCTCCACCCAGCGGCACACGGGGTCACACAGGCCCCTGTGGCAATGTCAAATCCGACCGTTCTGAACTTGTTGCTCCTGAGCCCTGGCCCTCCCCTGTGCTGCACTGTGGCAGGGGAAACTGAGGCAAGAGGGCTCAGCCACGGTACATGCTGAAGGGAGGCAGTGGGAGCTGAGCCAGAGCCCCCACCCCACTCCTCCACTCCTCCACGGGCCTCTGGGAGTGTGTGAAGGGGCTCGGTCACGCGTGACCCATCCCCCCGCACCTGACACTCCCACTGCCAGGTGTCCCCGGCGCACCAGGCCTGGAAGATAAACAGCGGGGCCCTGCGGAGGGTCCTTGCTGAGACTCACACAGTGCAGGGAACGTGGGATCTTTTATTGACAGCAGCGGTGCACAGCGCGGAGGGGCCTCCTGGCCCCAGCCAGGGGGGCTTCCCCGCCCCTGCACAGCGCCTGGACGCTTTCTTGGGGAGGGGCAGGCGGGGAGCAAGGGTGCAGGGCCGGGGAGGGACTTGTCCTGGAAGCCGAGGGCACTCAGGCCCGGGGTCCGTGTCCAGGCAGAAGTTCTCCAAGGCTTGCTCGGGCTCCTTCCCAGGGGGGCGACGTCTCCAGCTCTGCCTCTCAGGCGCTCAGCACCAGAATGTCCTTGGGGGGCGGAACAGAGAGGCTGGTGAGCAGGGCAGGGTGGCTCTGGCCAGACGCTCGTCTGCCTTTGGTGGGCCCGGGGCGCTCCAGGGCAGCAGTAGCCCTGAGATCTGGCAGGGTCGCGGGGACGGAGCTGCCACACCCCCATCTCCCCTCTCCCCCAGATAAGAAAAGCAGGCTGAGCCGCTCGCCATGGTCATCTTGCAGGACCCAGTTTTCTTAATACAGATTCTGCAGCCACAAAGCAGTAACAGAGCATAACCCCCGTATGTGAGTGGTGCTAATATAAATCAGTGAATGAGTAGATAAATGAGTGGGGCAGAAGGGGCAGCTTTTCCTTAAGGAATCCCCATCAAGTGTCTAGGAACTGCAGAGACAGCAAACCACCACTAGGCGGACACTGCTCTGGTCACTGCTGCGGGCAAGACCCAGCCAGGAAGCCACAGCCAGTGGGAGAGGTCCGGTGAGAAACTGGACACCAGCAGTCCCATGGGGCCTCCGCTGGGCGCGGCGTGGCGACAGCACAGCAGGGGTGCACCTGCAGGACTAGGTCCCACGGTCAGCAGGCTCCCTGGCAGGGCCCTCGGGGAAGGCCACCGCGTCACCTAAGGGGAGTTTTGACTGAACCCCAGCACGGCAACCCAACCGTGAGAAAGCATCAGTCGAAGCCAAACTCAGGGCCTTCCCTCCAGGCAGGCCACAAGGAACGGGCCAGGGACTGTCCCAGGCCAGGGGAGACGAGGGCGCTGTGGGGAAGCCAGCGGCTCCGGGGCGCAGGTGAGATCCTGGCTGGGTGGCGCTGTTGATTTCCTGGTTTTGATCATTAGACTCGGTTATGTCAGACTCTAACACTGGGGGAAGCTGGGAAAAGAACACTCTAGAATTCTTTGTACTATTTTTGCAATCAGTTCGTAAGTCTACAATTATTTTGAAATAAAAAGTCAAACTAACTGGCCAGGTTCCTGTAGCGATGATAAGCGCAGCTGACACTCACCTGACATTCTGTCATAGATACTGTGTTATCTCCTTTATGACTCTGAAATCGAACTCACAGACTGTGTAACCCACTCACGCAGTATAATTCCTGACTGCGAGAAGTGGGAGGGGTGTCATTTACGATAAAACAAGATGTGTTCTGACGCGAGAATACGCAAGCACGACTTTCCAGGAAGGAAATATTCACCCCCACGGGTTCCAAAGAGGCCCTAAGAAGAGGGGCTGCAGGGCGGCCGCGGTGGGGACCCCCGGTTTGAGCTGCCTCCCAGGTGCCAGGGCAGACACCACTGCTCACTCGCTCGTGGCCATGGCCGTGGCTGTGGCCGTGGCCCACTCACACAGCTGCAAGCGTGTACCAGGGCTGGACTCAGGCCCAAACCCCTGACGACTGTGCACAGGCACTAGGCACGCCGAGTCGGTGGTGGAAGTCGTGGTGATGGTGGTGATGGACTCGTGTCCATCCTCTCACGTGTCCTAGCCGAGCCGTTGGTTTACGTGAACGGCGCCTGTGAGCAGGAGGATGCTGCTTCGTTGGATCTCAGCACAAACTCCACCAGGTGGGTAGTGCCGGTGCCCATTCCCGATGAGAACACTGAGCCCCGCCCACAGTCACCCGGCGGAAACTGGCAGGGGCGGGATTTGAACTCTGGCCTCACTCCGTACGCCAGTCCACTACTGACTCCCTGATCTGAGCTGGGTCTAAAGGGGAGATCCCAGGGAGACTGGCGTGAGAACCAGCAAACTATTCCTGGGGGCGACTTCCGGGCTGCTTACACACTGGGGGAGACCGCCTGTCCGCTTCCTGTTCCCTGCGGTTCCCAAACTTCAGAGGACAAGCAAGCAGAGTTCTTAGCGTGGGAACAGGGCCCCTGTGTTCGAACCTCAAAGCACCTGCCATGATTCTGCTGAATCACTTCGACAGTCTCTGTGGGGGCCCCCTCCCCCGGGGGCTGGGGGCACGGCCAGGGCCCGCATTCTGCTGGTTCACAGCTCGCTCCTCAGCCCTCTGCACAGTGCGGGCCCATCATCCTTCCACCTCGGGCCAGCGGCTTACCACTCTGGGCCTCAGTTTTCCCCACCTGTAAGATGGGAGCAGTGACCGCTGTGGTGCGGACCCAGTGAGATTGTGGATGTGAGTTTCCTTCAAGGACTTGAAACGGCCTTGCTCCTTGCTCCTGAGCCCCATGCTTTAGAAGAAGAGGCCTCTGTTCTCCGCCCTTCCTCCCCTCCTCCTCCTCCTCCTCCTCCTCCTCTAGTTCTGGCCTGGGCTTGCAGTGGCCCACGGTGAGCAAAGAGCTCCATCTCCTCCTACCTCCAAGAGGTCGATGTTTGCATTGCTAAAGTCGATGTTGAGGATTTTGGGGAGAGGGACGCCGGAACCCAGCACAGCTGCAAAACAAAGCCAGGGGCGTCAGCCTCGTGGAAGGTGCCGGCTTTCAGTTCCTTCCCGGACGACGCAGGCCTCACTCCGGCCCTCCCCTGCAAGGCTCCCGCACCCCAGGCCCAGTAGCCCCAGGCAATCGCCGCGCCCCAGCCACCCGAACTCCTCCAGGACAGGAATCACACACTCTGCTTCCCTCTGCGGCTCCACAGCACCATGAGTTCCTAGTGGGCATGGGTCTCGGCCCCAGAGGCACAGAGCCCTTAGCTGGGCCCAGAGCAGAGGGAGGGAGGCCCAGCCAATGACCACGGGGGACTGGCTGCCTGGACAGAGGCAGGCAAGGAGGTGAAGGAGGGCGGGTGGGGTCCTTGGCCTTCCAGGGAGCTGAGGACGCCGTGGGCTACTCTACGGGGGCAGCTCTGCCCCCTCCCAATCGTGCTTGGCCAGGGCATCCTTCCCCCGGGGTGCTCCGTGGGATTAATGCTTTAAGGGACCCACTTTGGCCATCACAGGCTGGGCCAATCTCTCTCCAACATGAGAACTTGTACTTCAGGGAGATGGAAGGACTCACCCTGAGCTCACACCACCTCTGGGGGGCGGAGCCAGGTGGACAGGCCCCACCTCCTGCCTCCCCGCCCGTGCTGTTTCCCATGGAGCCACAGTTCCCCCCATGCCTTGCCCACGGCACCCCTGATGCCACAGAGAGAGTTGCCAGGCTGGGCCTGTGCTGTGGAGGACGTGCGGCAGCGTGGCGGCCAGGCCAGGGTCGGGTCTAGGGGCTGCGGCCTGGGGGCTCTGTTCCCACCGCACTTCTCACAGCAACAGCGTGCCCAGGGGGCCCGTCACCAGCACACGCCGTTCTCGACAAGTCGGGAAACCTCTGTCTGTACTTTTTCAAAAATGGAGGAAGAGGTTCGGGAGGACGCGTCCCGAGGTGCTGAGGTGAGCCCACCTGTGTTCTGTGCTTTCTGAACGCCCACACAGGCTTCTCACAGACAGGGCAGGAAAACCGGCACCAGCCCGACAAGGGAGGAGCAAGGAAGGGGCGTCACCCCCGAGGCACCCCATAAACAGACACAGTCATCATCTGGCAACTAACAATAAATTTTGGGGGCCAACGCTGTGATGCAGAAGGTTAAAGCCCTGGCCTGCGGTGCCAGCATCCCATGTGGGCACCGGTTCAAGTCCTGGCTGTTCCGCTGCCTGTTTAGCTCTCTGCTGTGGCCTGGGAAAGCAGTGGAGGATGGCCCAAGTGCTTGGGCCCCTGCATCCATCTGGGAGACCCGGATGAAGTGCCTGGCTCCTGGCTTCAGGCTGGCCCAGCCTCAGCCATTGCAGCCTTTTGGGGAGTGAATCAGCGGATGAAAGATCTCTCTTCCCTCCCCCAACTCTGCCTGCCAAATAAATAAATCTTGAAAAAATAAATAAATTTTAGGGGTGGGTGTTTGGTACACTGGCTAAGATGCTGCTTGAAACGCCAGCATCCTATATCACAGGGTCCGGGTTCGAGTCCCGGCTCTGCTTCCCATTCCAGCTCCCTGCTGATGCACCCTGGGAGGCAGCAGGTGATGGCTCAAGTACTTGGGTCAAGACCCGGATGGAGTTTCCAGATCCTGGCTCTGGCCCAGCCCCACCCTGGCTATTGCAGGCATTTGGGGGATGAATCAGCGGATGGGTGCTCTGTTTCTGTTTTGCAAATAAATAAATAAATAAAAACTTTAAAAATAAGCGATGTTTTAGGGACTGAAGAACACTGGATCTTAGACTTCAGTCAACAAGCTGCGCAAGTTCTCAGAAACACCATCCGGCGCAGGCCGCAGCCCCTCGCTCACCGTTCATGGCGGGCAGGAAGGCCAGGTCGAAGATCTTCCCCACCAGCACCTCCAGGAGGCCTACCTGCAGGGCGAGAGGAGCGCTGAGCCCAGGCCGCACTGCACCCAGCCCCCAAGGGCGCCCTGGCTCCCGCAGCCGCTCCCGGACGCTCTGAGCGTCCCCACGGAGCCCCTGCTCCCCTGCCTGCCCAGAGCGGGGTGATCCCTGGCCCCAGGCCCCACGGAGCGGGTGCTGAGGGAGGCCTTGTTCCCCGCCCAGGGCACACAGAGCACGGGGCAAGGGCAGTGGCCCTGAAGGTCTCGGGCTCGGGCAGCCGACAGTCGCGCTCCCAGCTCGCTCAGCTGTGCAGGAGTGCAGGGTGGGGGGCGGGGGGGGGGCGGGGGGCAGGTCACGTAAACTGCCTGGCCACAGCGGTCTCTCGTGTCTGGGGCCGTGCGTCCGTGGGTGCCGCCAGTGGTGTATGGGAAACACCCAAAACCATGACTATGTGTGCACGGAACAGCTACACGGCCTTCTCGTCTTCAGTCCCTAAAAACACAGCGTGCCAGCTGTTGGCACAGCACTCACACCGTGCTGCCCACACAAGGAACCCAGAGACTATTTAAACACACGAGAGGGGCGGGCCTTGCAGCAGCGACTAAGACGCGGCCTGCGACACCTGCGTCCCGTCCAGCAGGGCCTGGGTTGGGGTCTCAGCTCCATTTCTGATTCCAGCTTCCTGCCAATGCCCACCCTGGGGGCACAGGAGCAGCTGATGGCTCAAGCTCTCGGGCCCCTGCCCCCCTCACGGGAGACCTGGGTTGAATTTCAGGCTCCTGGGCTGGGCTGACCCAGCCCCTGGCATCCGGGGGAGTGAACCAGCAGAGGGAGCTCTCTGCCTTTCAAGTTAATTAACCGAAAAAGAAGAAAGGACACGAGAGGACTTGCCGAGGGTTCTGTGCACAGACCACGTTCCACGGGAGGGGGTGGGGCATCACGGACCGGGCACCCGCAGGCTCCCACGGCCAGCCCCTCTGCCCGGGTCACCCCCCACCCAGAACCTCCCCAAGCCTCGGTTTCCATGTGTGAAGCCGAGAGCGGGTACAGCAGACGCGAGGCCCCTGCTGCCCGTGCCTCTCCCTGGCGCTGCCTCTCAGTAGCACCGGGACCCGGGCAAGTCGCTTCCCCTCCCGGAGTGTGGCCTCCCTATTTGGAAATCGGATTGACAACAGCACGCAAATCCTAAGAGCGCTGTGAGGCCGGAGTGAGCAAAGCTCACGAAAGAGGGGGAGGCGGCTTCGGGGCCCCACGCGGTGTCTGTAACACACATCCATGCGCACATCCATGGCGCATGAATATGCATCAGGTGTGCACATGTAAACCTGTGCTCCCCTTGGAGTCCAGAGACTTCCGTTCTAGTCCCGACTCCGCCCACGCCAGCTGTGACGCCTGGGCCGGGTCCTCCCTGTTGATGCCCACGTCACAGGCTGCGGTATTCGGGGTTCGCAGAGACAAGCACCCTAGCGACTAGGTTTGCGGCCTTGATGTGTGCACAACGCTCACCCAGGCTCGGCCGGAAAGCAGCAGCTGGGGGGCTCTGGAGTCTTAGGTGGGGTGGAGGTGGGGTGCAAAAAGGAGCCAGGCGAGGACCCGGCACCAAGCCCAGGCTGGTGGGCGCCCCAGGGCACGGGGCTCGAGAGGGGGCCTGGGAATGGATCCACGCCTGCTTGCTTTACAGGTGGGAATCCGGGCTCGCAGTGGGTGGCTGTGGCTCCAGGTCACCCCATAACTCCAGCCTCGTGACTCCAGGAGCAACGGGGTTCCCAAGGCTGCCCCCAGACCTCCTCACCCTGAAGTGGAGAGACCTGGGCCTGGCAGGTGGCCCCCACTGGGGGCAGCCGTCCCCACGGGACCGTGCCATCTGCACAGCAGGAGCTGTGAGTGTGCTCTGGCCACTGTGGCCTCAGTTTCTCCATCTGTAAAAGGGGGCTGACAGGGCTGGTGCCAAGCCTCTGGAACCCACATCAGTCTTGCGGGCCCCGGCAGCCTCCCGGGGATGCCCTTCCCGGGGCCTGGGCCGAGCACTTACGTCAAAGTTGCCCACGTTGGAGGTTCTCAGGTTGAGCTCTGTCCTGCAGAGAGAGGACACAGCCTGTGAGAAGCAGTGATTGGTTCATGGCCAGGAACTCCTTCCCCAGCCTCCTCAGGGAGACTCCTGGCTGGCCCCGGGGCGGGCAGGGAGGGGCAGTGGTTACCAAGGACAAGGCTGGTTCCCAGCCACTGAGCACCGGCCTTGCTAAGGGCCTCCTACACATAAGGGCTCAAACTGCGGCTCTGCCACCGCGGGCTGCCTGCCCTTGGCCTACACAGCTCAGTTCTCCGTGCCTCGGCCTCCTTGTTGCAGAGTGGGCGCTGCTCGGGCTGGACGGAGGGCCTGTTATAGAGCACCTAACAGCTGCCATCGCTTTGTTCAATTCCTGGAGCAATGCCGCGGCGGGGGGGTTGGGGGGGCACTGAGGCCCAGGCACAACTTGTCCCAGTCCCAGAGCGAGGGCAGGACGCCAGGACCCAGGCCCTGCAGCTGTGCCCTTGGCCACCAACGTGCTGTTCTGAGAGAGGCCTGAGGCCCAGGTCTGAGTCATGGCCTCCGTCTCGTGGCACCTGCGTCTCACCTACAACTGCCAGTCCGGCTGGAGAGGGGCCGGGCCAGAGTTCCCCAGGGGTCTTTCCTAAGAGCTGCTCAGTGTGTGTGGGGGGGGGGCAGAAACGGGGACCGTGTGGGAGGGGGCTCTCCACATAAGGCTCCGCCCTCCCGGCCTCCACGCCCACCCCTGCCCCGGCCACTCTACAGCTCCAGGCTTTATCCCTTTGCTTCCCTGCCTGGAACTGCCAGCTCTGCCGGCCAGCGGGCTGTCTCCTCCCCTGCTTCGGGGTGAACGTCCCTTCCCTAGGCACTCCTGGGGCTCCATCAGAGAGCCACTCAGCGCCGGGCTGAACCAGTGCCTCTGGTAAGAGGCCCTGCGGTAGGGGTTTCGGTGCAATGATGAAGCTGCCACGCGGGAAGCCACGTGTCGGAGTGCCTGGGATCGAGCCCCGCCTGCACTTCCCATCCGGCTCCCTGCTGTGGCCGGGGAGGCAGCGGAAGACGGCCCAGGTGCGTGGCCCCTGCACCCTTGTGGGAGACCCAGATGGAGTTCCTGGCTCCTGGCTTCGGCCTGGCCCAGCCCTAGCATTTGGGGAGTGAACCAGTAGACGGAAGATCTCGCTATGTCCCTCGCTCCCTCTCTGCCATTCAAAACCAATCCTTAAAAAAAGGAAAAGAAAACTTAGAACGACACGAGCGCACAGTGGGAATTTTGCACCCAGTCTCCTTCATCCTGACAGGAGGACACCAGACGCACTTCCAGGAGCTGAGGTCAGAACGAGGTGAGGGCACAGCTCGGGTTCAGCTCAGCGGCCGGCACAAAGGCTTCCAGCAGTGTCCCTAGTTCTGGGTCCTACGTGCTGGAGGCCAGCATCACATGGCTGTCACCAGCGTCACACAGCTGTCACCAGTGTCACACAGCTGTCATCACTGTCACACAGCTGTCACCAGTGTCACACAGCCCTCGTCAGTGTCACTGAACCCCTCACCAGTGTCACACAGCTGTCACTAGTGTCACTGAGCCCCTCATCACTGTCACGCAGCTGTCACCAGTGTCACAACTGTCACCAGCGTCACATCAAGACTGGAGCCCACAGTGCCTGGCTCTGTAGATGGCGCAGTTGCCACTGAACACAGACGTCGCACAACCTGGGTCAGCTCAGGGTCCTCTCTTGTGCTGTGCTCCCTGGCAGCCTGGATCCCCCCCTGAGCTCCCTGGGCAGCCTGGGCGCCCCTTCTGAACCTCAGTCTCCTCCTTGCAAAGCGGGAACAAGGGGTCTGTGCTGTGGCACAGCCATTTAAACTGCTGCTTGTGTCGCCGCCATCCTTTATGGGCACTGGTTCAAGTCCCGGCTGCTCCACATCCAATCCAGCTCCCTGCTAATGGCCTGGGAAAGCATCGGAGAATGACCCAAGTGCTTGGGCCCCTGCACCCACGTGGGAGACCCTGATGGAGTTCTGGGTTCCTGGCTTCAGCCTGGTCCAGCCCCTGCTGTTGCAGCCATTTGCATGAACCAGTGGATGGAAGATCAATCTCTCTTTCTCCCTCTCTCTGTCACTCTGCCTTTCAAATAAATAAAATAAAAATTTAAAGGGAGAATAACAGTGCTGACTTCCCAGGCCCATCGGGAGGCCAGAGCTGGGGAAGCCATGTGCAGGGCAGGTGGGGCCCAGCCTGGTGCTGCCCCATCACTGGCATCGTTATTATTACTGTTGCCGTCGTCGTTGTTGGCAATAGGTCCAACAGACCACGTTAGGGCCGTGGCTTCCCCCACCCTGCCCGTGGGCTCGGCAGGCATGGGCCTTGTTCACCTCTGCAGGCTCCTGGATCCCCCCGGGCCTGACAGCCACCTGGGTGCCGCGTCCCCCAGGGCCCCCTGGGAGCCCCGGCCGCAACCCCTTACTTGTCCAGCTTGGTGTCGATCATGAGCTTATCGCCTTCCACGGAAAACGAGGCCAGGAGGTCGGTGTTCTGGGGGGAGGCAAGGAGGAGGAAAGGTCACTCGGACCCCGGGGGGCCGCTGCACGCCTGGCCGAGCCGCCTCCAGCCCCGAGGTCGCCGAGGCCTTGGGCCACCTCCTGCCCAAGCCTCAGCCGCTGGGCAACACGCACGGTGCACGGGGCCCCTCTGCGGGGAAGGGGTTAGGAAGAAGACATTATCTGCACGTCAGTCACGCTCACCACGTCGATGAGACAGATGGTGGTCTCCACGTCGTTGGGCTGGGACACCACGACCTCGGAAGTGGCAAACACCTGCACCAGCGCCTTGTCTTTCTGCAGCGTCACCGACGGCGGGTTGGGCACCTGGATCTTGATGGTGAGTGGGCGGGGCTCGGGGTACTGCTGGAACACCTGTGGGCGGGCACCAGGCCAGGTGGGCGGGGTCCTTGGTGGCAGTGGGTGCCCAGGGGGTCGTCGATCACCCTCTAAATGCAGAGCCCCGGGGCCGCGTCCTGCCCAGTGCAGGTGAAGCCAGTGCCCTGGGGAGGACGGACCCCTCCCCCGCCTCTGACACGGGGTCACCACTGTGCAGATGCAGTCACAGCCTGGAGTGCTGAGCCCTGCGCGGGAAACGCTCACGACCTGGGAGCGGGAAGGGAGGTGGGGGGGACGCTCAGTCACCACAGCTGCTGCAGGTCGCGAGCCCAGGCGCTTGGACACCCCTCCCAGAGCTTCCCAGAGCAGGAAAGTCCCCACCTTGGGGTGTCCACAGTTTCGCTCTAGAGCGAGGCTCGGGCCATGCCACCTGCCCAGGACTTCTGGGTCCCCAGCTGCCTGCAGGCGGCTTCCCCCACAAGCTGATCTGCTGACCAAAGGACCAGCCTGCCACACGACAAAATAACTGATTCACCCCCAAAAGAGCATGGAAGGAGCACTCTTGTTAAGCGAGCGCTGGCACCAGGTTGCAGGGGCAGGCGCCAGGGCCTCCGTCCCCGTCCTTGCCGCCGTCCCACGTGCAGCTCTTGGTCATTGGCAAGGTCAGCCGTCGGCTCACGTGCTGATCGCAGCCTCCGGCAAACTGGCTCCCGGCGCCTCGACTCCCCGGCTTCTCAGAGCGTCTCTGCAGAGTAGCCTGCGTAGCCACAGCTCCCTCACAGGGATGCCGGCGTCCCCAAGCAGCAGGGCCCCGAGCGTTCTCCTGGCTCCCCCCAAGCCTGTCCCCCAGGGACTGCAGCCCAGCCAGGGGCTCCAGGACACAGCCCTGGGCATCGGCTCGACCTGCAGCCACCTCACGGCCTGAGGCTCCCTACCCCTTGGGCCCAGCCCTGCCCCGGCCGCATCAGGTGCCTCTCCGCCTCTACCTTCTTCTCCCTTGTGGCCCCAAGTATGGGAGCCGATTGGGACCAAATGAAAGAGTGCGTTCTAAGCATAAGTCATGGGCTGGACAGCGCAGTGCAGTGCGCAAGCGCAAGGGTCCAGCCCCCCCCCACCAAAATGTCCCGGTTGGAGGGGGTCCCTGGGACAAGGTGGAGCCCCCAGCGTGTCTTAAGTCGGATTTTCGCGCCGCTGCAGTTCTGCCTTCAGCCACAAGACGGCGATCGCGACTGCCTGTTGAGCTTGGTCTCCGCCCCCCCAGATGCAGGCTTAGAACCTCGCCCTTGAATTCCACTCAGGACCAGACAGGGCAGGTGGGAAAAAGATGGAAAGCGTCCACGCAGCCGGGATCCCGGCCTCCCTGCGCTCCTGCGAGGTGAGTACCACCGACTGAGCCCTGGCTACCAGGTGCAGGCTCACGGGCTTCGCACAGGAGCTGGGCATCCCACAAGCCTTTGCTCCAACTGTGGATGGCCTCCCATGCGACGAGAGTGTGCTTGCGCCAGTTAGAAGGATTGGTTAACAGTAATAGTTAACGCTTGCCAAGTGCCTGCCCTGTGCCCGGGTTCCAGATGCCAGGTCCACAGCCACCCCGGCCGTGGGGGTGGCCAACGTTGTTAAGCCCATTTTCCAGCTGAGAACACTGAGGCTCAGAAAGATGCTGTCATTGGCCCAAGATGACGGGACTGGGATGTGCTGGTTGTGTCTCCCTGTCCCACAGAGCCGGCTGGTTCCCTCTGAGCGCCCAGGCACCCCGTCTGCCTGGCCCTGTGTCGGCGCCTCCCAGAACTATCTGAACCTGCATCCTGTTTGGACAGATGAGGAAGCTACAGCTCAGAGACGTTAAGGCTCCAGCCCAAAGTCACACAGCAAAGGAGCAGCCAGGCCAGGACCAGACCTGCACAGGCTGAGACCGGCTCCAAGCCTTGGTCACTGCCGCCCCACCCAGTGCTGGGCGTCTTCCCTTCTGCCTGCGGACCGGAGCCCCCCGCCTCACCTACCTTGGGAATCAGGGCCCCGAGCGTGGCTGTGGTAAGTGGAGGAAGCTCTTCAAACTGCAGGACAAACAGAAGGGTCACATGAGGCCCTGCGGGGACAGCAAGGAGCTGCTGGCGCAGTGGTCAACTCCCACCGCCAGAGGGCGCCTCTCCCTCCGAGACACTCTCCATCCCCCCACCCCACCCCAGGCGGCCACGCCCTCACATGGGGCAGCCGCTGACCGTGTACAGGACAGGAGGTTGTACCGGAATCGCTCTTCTCTAAAAACCCGCTGCTGGTTAAAACCGGGGTGCAACGCCGTGTCTGCGCACCCCTCTGGGGCCCAGGACGCCCTGCCCCTGCTGCTCTCTGTCTGGCTCGGCTGTCTTCAGGGTGGCTCGCTGGGCAGAGCTCCAGGCCGAGGGGCGGGAAGCCCGCGCCAGGGGCAGAGAGGGCTCGGAAGGAAGAGCGATGCAGCAAAAATGAGACCCGCCCCGCCCGCGGAGTGCAGCTCGGAGCGGAGGGCTCCAGCCACAGGTTCTGCTCTCTGCTGTCAGCGAGAGGCTAACCGTGCACTGGCCCCAGCGGTCACTTTCCTCTCGCTGGAATCAAAGATCGTGGTGGATCTTTGGAGAACGCTCTTGTTCTTAGAAGATGAACCATGGCGTTTGTGGAGCCAAATGTCGTAGTGCAGCTAAAAGCTCCAATCGCTCACTAACAGGGTGGACAGAAAGATGGGAGACAGAAAGACAGGCAGGTCCTGGATGACGGGATGGGTGGGTGAGTGATGGCGATGGACTGGAGGATGATGGGGCGGGTGGGTGGGTGGGTGGATGGGTGGGTAGGCGGCCAGGTGGATTGGGTGAGTGGCGGTGGGTAGGTGGCTAGGTGGATGAGTGGGTAGGTAGATGGGTGGATGGGTGGGTGGGTGGATGGATGGTGGATGTGTGGGTGGGTAGATGCATGGGTGGATGGAGGGACAGATGGGTGGGTGGGTGGATGGATGGTGGATGTGTGGGTGGGTAGATAGTTGGAGGGGAGGGAGGGTGGATGGGTGGGTGGAGTGGCTAGGTGGCCAGGTAGGTGGCCAGGAGGGCAGATGGGTGCCTGTGAGGCCAATGTGGCAGAATACTACCTGGTGGGCTCGGTGAGGGTCACTCGTATTTTCTAACTTTTCTGAAGGCTTGAATTTTTTAGGAAGCTGTGTGGCCAGGAGTCGGCCCCACCTTTCTGTTCCTTGGGCATCGGTGGCACCGCGAGAACAGGTTCTCGGCGCTCACGCGGAAGTGCACAGGGACACACGTGTGTGAATGCGGCCCCTTCCAGAAAGGACTGGAATGAACAAACTCGACTGGAGCGGGGAGCCACGGCCTCGCCTCGCCGCGCTTGGGTGTTGCGCCGAGCCTCGGGCACCCGGCCGAGCGCGCACACCAGGAAGCCGCGGTGTGGGGCGGCACGCACCATGCCGTTGGTGATGTCGATGTCCAGCGCCCGCTCTTTCTGCAGCAGCGTCAGCACCGAGCCCAGGAAGTTGGCGGAAATGGCCAGCTGGGAGTTGGTGTTGTCGCCCATCGGGGGCAGCTCCGGCATCCTGGGCCTGGGCGATGTGGCCGGCCGCCCCAGCGGGTAGTCAATGAGCTCTCCTCCCGCCTCCCCGACCAGGGTCTGCGGAGCAGAGGGGGCCCTCAGTGCGGGGAGGACGGGCGGACGGAGCCTGGAGGCTGGCTGGGCTCGGAACCTGCCTCCAGGCAGCCCTCCTTGATTCAACCCCCGGGCCAGTTAGGGCCCCAAGCCGCCTTCCATTTGTGCTGGGTTGGGACCTCGTACAGTCCCTGCTGTATGGTCACCACACACACAGTGACATGGATCCCCCTCTCCCAAGCCCCCCACCATGTGGCTTCCCCACGGGCTCTTCCCTCTATCGCACTTTTCCCCTGTTACATCCCACTCATCTGCTAGGTCTCTGGTCAGGTGTCACCTCCTCCAGGCAGCCCTCCTTCACTTCCCTGAGGCTCTATCACAGCACTGGATTGATAACTGCATCTTCGTTTGAGAGCGTGAGCCTCTACAGCCCATACGCTGCAATGGGTTGGCATTCCCACTGGGCAGGGAGGCCCAGGGCCCGGCACAGCAGTGACCCCCCCCCAGGTGTCTCTGGCCCAGATCTGTGTCTAGGAATGCGTCAGCTGTGCCCGTGTGCACAGGTGGGGAGCACGGGTGTGCACCTGCACGTCTGCGTGGGGTGTGGCAGGTGGGGGCCGCTGGGGAGGGGGTGGGAGCCTCGTGCGTGTGGGGGCCGGGCACTGGCGCCCAAGCCCCGACTGTGGCCCCTCTTCCCACCTTGGCCTCCAGCGGCCTCACACTGGGGCAGCTTGAAATCAGCCGCGGTGGGTGTGGCGTGCCGTGGCGGTCAGCAGAGCTGCGAATTGGGACTTTTTTTTTTTACAGCGGTCTCCGCGAGGCGCTGGGGAAGTACTCCCCAGTGCTCCAGCAACTGGCAGGGGGGCCGCCGGGGTTCACATCCCAGGTCCATGCCCATTAGCTGCGTGGCCTTGGGCAGGTGGTCTGACCTCTGCTGCGAGCTCAGACTGAGTAGAACTGGGTATGCAGCGGGCCGGGGTCGGCTCTGGCTGCAGAAGGGGTCCGGGTGATCAGGGAAGGCTGCCATCAAAGGCTGCCTCCCAGGCACTCGCCAGGGGGCTGGGACCCTGGCTCCGCCCTGCCTGTGTGGGGGGACCGCTGCCCCAGCCCCGCCCCGCCCCGGCCCCTCCCCGGCCTCGCACTCACATTGAGGTCCAGCTCCAGGAACTCGCCCGTCACGAGCGGGAGGCTGGAGAAGGTGTACTGCACACTTCCCAGGATGCCCAGAGGCACGAGAGCTGTGGGCAAAGGCGGGGGTCACGGGGAGGCCCCGCAGCCCACCCCGGGGGCCGTGGCTGGGGTGGGGTGTGGCCAAGGCGCCAGCTGCAGACCCGGGCAGCCTCTCCCTTGCTGCGTGGCCTCAGGAGGTCCCGGCACCGCTCTCTGCACCTCGGGTTCCTCCCCCATAAAGGGGTTCCAGGAGCCTCTCGGGGAAGGGGGACTGGGATCCTGGAGGCGTCTAAGCCTTGCAGACAGAAGCGTGGTGCACCAGGGAAACCAGTTTGGTGCTCCAAACTGGCGCTATGGGTAGCCCCACCTCCTGGGAGAGGCTCGCCCTTCCTCGCTTCCCTGACTTGGGACAGCCATGTTCAAGCTGCCTGGTGTCCCAGAGCAGTGGGCGCACCGTGAGAGAGGGCTGCCTTGCACAGTTGTAGAGGCCGCGCACTGCCCAACTCAAGGTGCTGCCATCCATTGTAGTCTACGTGGAAGGAGGTCCCTGGAGAGGGGCAGTGCACCAGCTGCACAGCCACCCAGGGCCGGCTGCCTTCAGGATGTTCACTCAGGGCTCCAGGGCCTGGTTCTGAGGACCTGCGCAGTCTCCACTCGCCCTCTGGGCCCTCTGTGGGCTGCAGGCAAGCCCCTGGCTCTAGCCGGGAAGCAGCCAGGGAGGGGCTGTCCAGGTCCACACAGAGCCCTGCCGGGAAGCCCCTCCCTCCAGGGGGCAGAGGAGAGGCCAGGCAGCCGGCTGCCGTCCCCACGCGCTGGGCCCTCCTCCCACAGGCGGCTGTGCCGGGCTGGCCCAGGGCAGGCGTCAGTAGATGGTGGCGAAGGACTCACAATCCACGAGACCCAGCTGGTCATTCACGAGACCCAGCACCACGTCCACAACGGGGCAGAGCTGCAGGGGGAAACATCAGGGAGCCGCGGTGACGCTGGCCCTGCGCCAGGCACTGTCCTCCCCACGGCCCCGTGGGCAGGGCTCTGTCCTTACTCCCATACCACAGATGGGAAAACCAAGGCCCAGGCAGCTGGCGTGACTTGTCACCCAGCAGGGAGTTGATCCCAGAACTGGGCCCTTCTCCAGCTCCCCAGCTTGTCCCTAACTGGTCCGTCCCTCCGTGTTCCTGGGGAGCCTGCCCAGACGGCCAGGAACACGCCCAGCCCCTGGCTCCCCCCG